CGGGGAAACAGGGAGGGTTTTTTGGGTTTCACCTGCCTGACACGGCCCCTCTGCCCCGCAGGAGGAGGAGGGACACGGAGGGATTCGGAGAGGAGCCGAGGGAACCCACGACCGGTAACGGAGGGGATGCGGGAGCCGGGCACAGCCCTGCCCTGGGCCGCCAGGACTCGCACAGGACCGGGCTTTTCTGGAGGAAATCCTGGGCCAAACCACAGTTTTTCCGCCCCTTTTCGTTTGATGTGAATTGCTGTGGGGCTGGAATAACTGGCTTATTAACTTGTAAACTGGGATGTTCTGAAATGAGAAGAAACGCACAAAAAGGACATTTCTTGCAGCATTTTTGACTGTAGGTACCTGTGCTATAGAGGTAACTCTGCTCACTCCCTGATTGCCTTTTCCACGTGGATATACCCGTGTTGCTCCCCTGTAGCTCTGTTTGCTAGTTTAAAACCCCAGGAAGCCTTTGAACTACAACTGGTCTTTCCTTTTTTGCAGTGTGACCCCTTTTTATAATTTTTTGGTCATTTTGCCACGTATCCTTACAAAGTTGTACTGAACAGAGCATCCATCCTTCACCTAAAACCTCAAATTTCAATCTGAACTTTTTGTTGTGTTTTTTTTTTCCTCTCAAAGTAGCTTGTGTTTTTCAGGCAGTGCTGAAAATGTGATTGTTGGGTGTGTTTTTCATATCCAAAAGCTTCTCCTCTTGATTTCTAGGTGACAATATCAGAGAGTTTTTGCTGAGTCTCAGGTATTTTCGTATCTTCATTGCCTTGTGGAATATCTTCATGATGTTCTGCATGATTGTGTGAGTAACCCTGTGCAGCATCTTCTCACTTGGTTATAGAAAGTCATATATTGGCACTTTTCTTGCACATCTATCTCTTTTTTCATCTGTCTCTCCCACTCGATTTTTCCATAATCCTTTTTTACTTCATTCCTTTATTTCAGTTTTCAAATATGGGTTGATCTCACAGTTTTTTGCTAATGTGGGTACCTGTAGTGCATGAAAACCACCTGTGCCAGCACCCGAGTCATTCAGCCTCCAGCAGAGTGTTGCTTGTTGGGGGTTGCTCAAGTCAAACATCACCTGGGTTGAAATTTGGGGTTGTTTTTCATTTTGGGGTGGAAACCCACCAAGTTAATCAGATGAAATCAGCTGTTCACTGCTGTGGTTGTGACTGTTTCTCATCTACTTTTTTTTTTTTTTTTCCTGTTGCATCCCTCAGGTTATTTGGATCTTGAAAGCCACCCATGGACATGTTGGAAGAGACTTTTGGCTGGGAACAAACTTTTCTAGAAATAAAAATTCTGATGCTCTCCAGCTGCAGGCCCAGGCTTGTGGGGAGCCTGGGACATGCTCATCCCCTCCAGGTTCCTTCTCTGCCAGGGCTTGGAGCCACAACCTTCACACAAATTATCTCAGCTTCACTGAAAGAGAATTCTAACTTGGTTTTCTAAGCTCAGAGTGGGGAGCAGAGGAGAATTGGAGCCAGTTTTAAACCTCTGCCTTGGCAGTCCCAACTGGGGCTGTGCCAGGTCGTGTTACCCCTGTCCAAGGCACACTCTGTAGTTCTCAGTTTTGTGTAGATGTTGAGCAGTGTTCTTGTAAATTCTCACTATATCATTACTTTGTGGGAGGTGTAGAAAAGGAATATTCAAGAAAAAAAAAAAAGCTCCCTGTTTTTCCAGAAAAATGTTTTTTAAAATTAATATTTCAAAGATTTTTTTTTCTAAGCAATATGTAAGGGATTTTGAATGGGAAAAAATGGCAAAAATAATTCTCTAAGCCAATGTTAAGAGATAATTTTGGAATAATCTTGGATTTGGTTGAATAAAATTGTTCTATTCAAGGGTAAAATATATATTTGATGCCATGTTCATTCTGTTATGGTGTATTTTGGGAAATTGTAACCAGTCCTGTAATTTATCTGGAGTCTTGTGTTATTTATATTTAGTTGATCTCTGACCAACAGCTTTTCCCCAGAATCACCAAGATAATTTAACAGAGTGCAGTGCTGAGTATCTTTTAAATCAAACTGTAAACTGTTAGTGGGTTTCCACAGCTTCAGTTTCTTTAGCTGTTTAGGAGAAAGAGACCTGATTTAAATGATTCCCTGGCATGAGTTTTAGGGAGTATTTTGAATTTTATCTGGTGAGATGCAGATCTGCAGAGTCGGCTGCCCTGAGTTGGGCACCTGCAGCATTTTGAGTCATGCTCTTGGTTGAACTGAAGTTTTCACATTAATGAAACATGACAGGGGAAGGGTCATTTGAGGGAGGATGCCTGGCTGTAATGAACCCAGAAAAATACACAGGCCGGCTCCTTCAAACATGGCTTGAGCCATCCAGAAATACGTACAACCTTTGGTTAAATATAAACATATTCCTTGTCTGTAATTTCACTATATTTTAACCCTTTTCTGATTCTTTAGAAGGAGGGAGAGAAAAAAAAGTGTGTTGCCACATACAATACAGGGGTTGACTCAATATGATTCCTAGAAAACATTTAGTGCCTAATCTTCATTAAACCAAATGTGAAGGGAAGGGTGGATGTGGCGTCGCTCTGTGTGTGTGACCTGCTGCACACCACTGGGCTCAGGCCTGAGCTTTGAGCTTGGGGGGTTTTTTATTTCTCCTTGGAAAAATGACCCCGTGCAGAGCTGGCAGTGCTTTATAATCACAGGGAACACAGAAGGGAGCTCCATTGCTAAAGGAATTCAAATCGTTTTATCACCCTGCACACACCGTGTGGCTCCAGAGCGTGCTGTCCCCACGAGACTCCAGTTGTGCAAGTTTTGATTCAGCTTCGAAGCAGCGGCTTTAAAATAACCACACCACAAATCAATTTTGAGCTGCTTTTAAAAGCCGTGAGAAGTTTGAAGTGCCGCGCTGAGGGGACCAGAACGCCCCTCACACCTACACGGCCCGAGTGGTGCCCGCAGGAGGTTTATTCCCGTTATTTATTTCCATTATTTATTCCCCCCCCGCAGGGTGCTCGGTTCCTCCAGGGCCGGGCAGGGGTCCCGGAGTGGCCACCCGGCTCCTGCTGCCCCCCCTCTCCGCCGCCATCGCCCCGCTCTCCTCCATGCTCCCTGTGCCCCATTCTCCCCCTCACGGCTACTCCCCGCAGCGCCCTGTCCCCCAACTTCCT